TGTGAGACTAATGATGTTTTTTGTTTATCAATATTTGTACTGGTTTTCTTTTCTTGCTCTTTTGTTCTCCTCTTTACCATTTTGTTTGTATCATCTCTTCTTCCTCTATGGACATGTTGACAAAGTTGTCTGTCTAGATTCCTAATCAAACGCAGTTTTTATTTTGTTACAAACTTTTGCACAGCAATGTTTTTTTTCATGTATCCATGGCTATGCCAGAATAAACTGAACTGAACTGAACTGAAACTGAAGAAAGTAGTACTCTAGCTAAGGCATCAAAAGTTAGATTGTCACCTCATTTTAATTGTAGAACTAAATAACAGGACAGGTGCAAAAACTGTTGCACGCATAGTTTAATTCACGTAGGAGAATGAGTTAGGTTTGTGTAAATAATAGGATAGACAGGTAGTAGCGGTTCAGATAGTCATGCGAGTAGAACAAATTAGTTTGTTTTTACCTTCTTTCCTGGAGCGCTTTTTATGGCTGATTTCAACCGATAAAAAGTATATTTGCATATTCTTGTTGAAATATAAATGAATAGAACCCAAATAAAATAAATATCTAAATTGTACTTGGTATACATTGAATAGTCTTTATCGGCCATCAAAAACACATCCGAGCCAAACTCAGCTACAGTTTCAATTATGTTTACTGCACGTTCTACTCCTCCATGCAGTTTGATCAGAGCTTGAATACGTTTAATATTCATTGAATAATTTCTATCATTTAACAGAGAATAAATACTTGATGTCAATTGATCCGAAGTAAATTTAAATTTATCCAGCAGTATACCAACGCCAGCATGATGAATTTGGTTTCCCACATCGAGTTGATCTGCAAAAAATGGTAGACAAATAATGGGTGTGCCGAGCCAAATACTTTCGTAGGCACTGTTCACGGCACAATGTGAAATAAACACTTTGACATTTTCATGAGCTAGATGACCACGTGTAGATGACAGCCAGTCAACTATGCGAATTGATTTTGGAATATTTGTTGAACGAACAGCATTGTCAACTATTCTCCATATTACACGAAATTTATCTGACGCTAGACTTGTCATTAATTTGTCAACTTGTTCCTTTGTGAACGATACCAAAGTACCTGTGCTAACATAGATCACTGGTCTAGAATCGAATTCTATCCATTGTCTATCTTCAGCACTGAGCTCGTTAAGAAATTCTTCCCTTGGTCTAGCCATATCGAACATTGGCCCAGTTAAGTGAACATTTGATGGCAGAGGTCGATTATATTCAATACCAAATGCTGTATTCACTATGATCACACGACTAGAATAGCTTGTAAGGGAACTACGGGGTTTCAATAGTCCAACCGATTTTCTGAGTTCATTCAATCGAGAATCAAATGTAAACCAAATTTTGAGCGTAAAGTAATTTCGAATTACTGGTAGTAAAGCACGTCTGAAGGTACTAGTGCCGAATATACGCATTTCGTTATTGAGGAAACTTACGGGGTTATAATCGGCTGGCGGAAGAACAAACCACCTAAGTGCAGCCAGTATGTCTGGATTGTTAATAATACAAGAAATATTCAATGTCTCACAAATATCCGAACCAGCCCGAGTTGCTATATCAATAATGCCAATGTCAATATTAGTCAGTTTTCTATCTTGAATGGCTTTTACTGCTTCAGTGTACATATGTGGATATGCTTCGGTCGACCAATTCATGAACAGTTCGATACCCGATATAAAAGTTGTCGATGACTCGATTTGCTGCCTAACTTCCTTCAAATCATTCATCCAATCACATTTGTCGATACCAATAAATCCTAAATTATTTTTTTCGACATGATTCTTAAGCATTGAACAGCTGACGATATACGTATTCCAGTCACGTTTCTCCAATTCAATCGCTTGAAAAATTAATGGATTCGCATGTCCAATGAACGGAAGTGTTATGAATAAGGCAGTGCGCCGTAACTTCGCCGTTGATGTTATATGTAAATTGCAAAGAAAAATCGTTAAAATTACGAACAATTTTCTCATCATGAGAAATCTGAAAGAATAAATAAAAAGTTTTATCTGAAATTCATAGATGAGAGACAATGTCAGCATTGAATTTTAGGCAATTTTGTATGAATAACCCTCTTCACACGGACTTCTTTTTATGGTTGATGAATGAGTAACGAATTTCTTACTGGATTAAATCGGAGAACGCTTCAGCTTCATTTTCTCTGTGAATCTAACGAAAGTAAAAAACTAAAAAAAAATACGAAGAGCGCACCTTTTTATCTCTCCTATTATGTAATGTTTTTGTTACGCCCTGTATGATTACCTGCATGTGTTTCGTTAACGTGAGAAAGCTGCTTCGTGTATCATTGTTCTTTTCTTTCCATACATTAATTATATGTAACGTTCGTTACGTGCATGGCGAGAAAAGCGCTGTCTATGAGTTCTTCTATCTAATGCTTGTCTGGAACCGAAATTCCGTTTCTCGAATTAGAACTGAAACGAAAAGAACCGCGGTCCCGGTTCACGACTTAGAACAGAACCGCGGTTCTTGATTCTCAACTTAGAACCGGAGAAGAATTTTTCCGGTAGTAACAATTCAACAGAATAAAATTCATTTTATAGTAAACCAAAGAATTCTGTTAGATAATGGCAGGCAAATATATCTTTTTTCAGCTTTGTCAATAGTGTGCTTTCATTTTGTTAAAAGAAAGGCAAGATAAAAAGATAAGCCAGAAGAGAAAAGAAAGAATTATTGTTTCCCCCGTCCTTCTTACAATTCATAAAGAAATACAAAGTGTCAAGACCAGAAGTTATGGCCAGTATAATGACATAATAATATTGGCTTTATCTCGTATCTAAGAAGAGTCGATGGATTCGCCAAGTATAGAAGATCCCATGTAAAAGAAGTTGCGCATAAGTATACCTTAATTACGCTAAATATAACTTTCTTGAAATAAAACTGTAGTATCTATGGTTAAAAAAGTGTCGGTTCCAAAAAGAAGGAACCGCCTACAAAACCGCGATTCCGGTTCCATTCACAGAACCCGTACCGTGGTTCCGGTTCCCGATAAGGAACCGAAAACAAGAGAACCGCAGTTTCAGTTCTTAACGAGAACCGAGAACCGAGCATCCCTACTCATTAGTACCAAACAATGAAGCTCGTTGATAATGTGGTGAATTTATTGTCGATAATATTCGATGAGATACCATTGATTTGGTACTATTGCGCTACCCAGTGAAAAAAAATGAGCGTGATTCCGCCAGTTCCTGCGGGAAAATATTTTTTCGTCGGGAGTTTCAATTTTTCCGCAGGAAATTTTCAGTTTTCGGCGGGGAAACGCTGATTCACGACGAAATGTTTTTTCTGAACGTATGCAGACTTATTTTTCTGTAGAAAAATTTGCTTTTCTGTGGAAATTTTCATGCAGGATTCTGCCGAACATTTTTTCAGCAGAAATGCTCTTTATTCCGCTGAGTTTTTCATGCAGGATTCTGCCGAACATTTTTTCACGCAAGTTCCTGCGGGAAAATATTTTTTCGTTGCAAATTTCAATTTTTCGGCGGGAACCATTAATTCACAGCGAGATTGTTTTGCAAACTACACAGAATTTTTTTTCTATTAAACTTTCCGTTCAGGATTCTGCGACATATTTTTTCAGCAGAAATATATCCCAAAGAATGCAAGGGCTTGCTCTACACTATTTGCTAAATCAATAATATTTCACCTAGCAAGATCACTTGGATCAGAAAAACAGGCCGATTTATGAGGTTTTTAGAAGAGCTAACAACTATATTAGAGTCAAGCTCTGATTGCGGTCGTCATATATACTGTCATCTTTACGACAACGAATGCACTTAGCAATCAAATTGTTTATCGATTAATATTAATTAGTTCCCGTAAATTTTTCCCAAATTCTTGTAAATCTTAATCAACTAATAGATTAAAAAATATTCGAGAAAATTGTTATGAATTGTTATGAATGTTGAGAGTAAG